CGGGAGCCGAGGAGGAGGCTCCGGACGCTGCTCGGGAACCGGGGACCTGGGAGTGCCCGCGCCCTGAGCTCTCAGCTCCGGAGGCGGTGAGAGGGGCAGAGGGGGCATGTCGCGGGAAGGGGACAGATTTGGGGTCTGGATTTGGAGGAAGGACACCTGGGATGCCGGGGGACACATAGGGGAGCGTCGGGACCCCGACTGGTCCTTTCGGTGTCAGGCCCGGTGGGCTCGGGCTCTGCGTGCGTCCGGAGGGAGCGCCGCGCTCGGGCCGGAGGCGGCGTGGTTGCGGCCGCCCCTTCCATGCCGATCGACAGTTTGGGAGTCCGGCCGGGGCCTGGGATTAGGATGCAGCCTGCTTCCCGCCCAGCCGGCTCGGCCGGCCGCTCCCGCCCTCCCCGCTCTGGCTCCCGACTCGCCTCCGCTGGCCCTCCGCTGGCCGTCTCCGGCTCAGCCTGCCACCATGTGCCCTCACCCCAGCCCACTTGCACCTGGGAGAGAGGTGGGGCCGTGCTTAAGGAGGAAGGAGCTGGGGATGTAGGGGAATGGTGCATCTAACTAAACCCCTAATTAATTCCATATAATTGGTGTCAAAACTGACAGGGACACAAGCACACCTCTGAGAAACAACCAGCACTCACAGTGACACACACCCATGTGACTCTTACACATACTGGCTCGCACACACCAAATCACAACCTTCCCGGTGCTACACATCCAGCCGCCCACCACAACCCACTGCCTCCCAAGTGGAGTCTCCTGGACTATGGGGCTTCAAGACATCAGTTTAACAGGACAGCAGAGGAATGGACAGAAGGGGCCACTGTCCCCAAGACCATCCTGGTTTTCTGGGCAGCTTTAAAATCCTGGTCTCCTTTAGAACAAGGAGACAGGACATAGAAGACTAATGAGTCAGTGCTCTTAGCCGGGTAATATGGGTTCTGGTGGCCTGTCTAGCTGGGTCCAGTTAGAACTTAGGGCACTGGGAGTGGCTAGTTTCTGGACATCAGAGTGGCCAAGGAATGGAGGAGGGAGTGGAAGAAAGGGAGAGGAAGAAAAAGAATGAGTATGAGTCAGCCAAGGATGGAGCGCAAGTCAGAGGGAGACAGAATGAGAGGAATGTGTGTGAGAAGGAGACAGACGTGGAGAAAGGGACAGAGCCAGAGAGGGTCAGAGATATAGTCAGGGAACCATGGAAGGGAGAAAGTGAGAGAGAAATGGTCAGAGGATGCAAAAGAGTGCTGGAGAGTGGACTAAAGAGAAATTAGGGAGCATGAATTGGGCTTGGTGGCACACATCTGTAATCACAGCAACTGGGGAGGCTGAGGCAGGGAGACCACCAGTTGGAAGCCATCCTGGGCAACTTAGCAAGAGCCTGTCTCAAAAGAGAACAAAACAAAACAAAACAAAAAACTGGAGATGAAGCTCAGTGGAAGAGTGCCCTTGGGTTCTAGCCCCAGTATATTAAAAAAAAAAAAAAAAGCCAGAAAAAATTAGGGAGGATGAAAGCAGGGAATTAGGAAGCACAGGCTGAATTTGTGTATCTTGTTTCTTGGGTTGTGTGTGTGGCCCCCAGGCTGTCAGAGCGATTAGCGTTAATTGCTCTTCCCTTTGCGGTTAAACACTCCATTGGGGAAATTGCCAAGGATGCCCTAGGCTGCCAGCTTTTCTGGGTGCCTACTTCCTCCTCATTTCTGTAACACCTGTGCCCATCATGTGCACATATGTTGTCATGCATGAAGAGGGTTACAGAGTCATACAGTGGGTCACTGTCACATAGATCCTCACCTACAATGTCAAGAAGGACAGACCCTCCAGACAGTGGGCAGCCAACCACTGCATCTTCAGGCCTCTCCCCTCAAATATTGTATCAGGGAGTCTCATATTGTATCCCCTTCCTCATAATTGTTCTGAGTATTCAGATGGGGACACTGAGTTACAGAACCCTGGAGCTCACCCCTTCCTAAATAGTTGCTGAGAGTATTCAATTGGGGGATACCGAGTCACTGGCCCTTGAAGTTCATGGCTACTATTAGATGGGATGGGTGAACAGGCAAAGCTAGCAGGGATGAATGTCTATTGAAAGGGAAGGAGGAAAAGACATCAAAAGATTAGGGAGAGAGGAAATAGAGATGGGAGAGAGACAGAAATAGGAGCAGGAGTGCCCAGTCAGATCTTGGGTCTGGTTCTTGTATTAGACTAAGGGCTGAAGGCTTTGTCTCCATCCCCATACTCAGAGGTTTTGCTTCTTGGCCTGAACATTTTAGGGTCCAGGTGTCCTGCCTCCCCTTACTCCCGAGTGACCCTGAAACCTCAGAATCCTCTTTTTCCTTTGGTACATGACTGAAGATGATCCTCCCACCCCTTCCCCCTAAAGAAAACTGGATAGAAATTTGGGGAGGAAGCCAAGTATGATATTAAAGGAAATAAACTTAGGACTGCTTGAATTTGGTTCCCAGATATAATTTAAAATAGGACAGCTAGAACCACACTCTCTCCCTTCCCACCCGCTACCTCTTCTCCATTACTTCCTCCAACTTCAGGTAACAAGACCTACAGACTTGATTGCCTAGGAGTCCCCTCCTTCCCATTATAGGTTCTTGCAGCTGTGCAGGATGACCCCTCCCCCCAGCCTGAGGCAGCTGCAGCAGATGTGGAAGAGGGAGGGCACTCCTAGCTCCTAATCCTTGGCTTCTCTTGAGATTCTTAAAAATTTACTGAGCTAGGCGAGCCAGGCTTGGTGGTCATGCCTATAATCCCAGAGACTCCAGAGAATTGCAACTTACAGAGGCCCTAAGCAACGTAGGATGAACCTGTCTCAAAAAAAAAAAAAAAAAAAGAGCTGGGGTTATGATCAGGGGTTAAGTGCCATGGGTTCAATCTCTGGTACTTAAAAAAAAAAAAAAAATTACTGGAACCAAATTCTAGGGAGAGGGGATACTCTACCATGAATTATTAGCAAAATGCACAGAAATTCTTTTGGTGCTGCCACTTCCTTCATAGGTGGTTGTCCCATTTTGCCAGGCTTCTCAAAGCAGACCCAGGGCCTGCCTCCTCCTCCCCCAGTGCCTACGGAAGGAGCACCACCTGCCACCATCCCAACTCCTGCCCTAAAAGGTCAGTATATAACAATGCTTACCTCCTGCCTCTTTCTGTTTCTCAGCATCATCTTTGTCAGTTGGTTCTACCTTTGTCAGGGCTCCACCTGGAGCTAGTTTAGGAGAGGGAGGAAGGAAGGAAGGTATGAGGAAGCGGTGAGCAGCACACAGAATGAGCTGGGAGGGAAGGGGACCGACTTCCTGGCAGCCTCAGCTCCGGTTCCCAGTTCCTGCGCTGGTATCCTGTCCTCAGAATGGCCTCCGCCCAGGCTGCCTGGTGTTCCCTGGGCAGCCCTCTACACTGCTCCAGAGATCAGAAGGATTTTTCAGAGCAAGGAGGACAGAAAACTTCTCCGTGGGCCCTAAGTAGTTCTAAATCTCTGATGAGGAAAGAGTCAACCGAGGATGAAGGAGCCAGGCTCTGCCAAGTCCCACCACTGCCAGACCGGCCAGGGACAATAGTTGATCAGTGAGTCTTGAGATTCCATCTTCCCACCGCCCCCAAATACCTCCCCCCAATCTATTCTGCCCTTGCCTCTGCTGCCACACCTAGGCACGGGCAAATGGGATCTAGAAAGGCAGGTAACCATGGCCTTTCTTTACTCCCTTAGGGGGCCCTGTTCTTATCCTGTTGTCCCTTACTGCCCACTCTTCACTCTCCTTCCGTCCAGTGGTATCATTGTCCTGATGATTCGGGGGGCAGGGGCAGAACCGAGGTTGCTGTGCTAACGGCTGAGCTGAGGCTGCAGCCTTGTGGACTCTGAGCTCCATCCCCCCACTTTCCCCTAGGATTCCTCATTCGCAGCCTCAGTCTCTCCCTTTCCCGGCTCCTGCTCTCTTCCTCCGTTCTGTAGGCTCCCCTCACCCTCTGGATGGGAGCCTGTGGTTATGTACTTTCTTACACACACTCAGCTGGTTCAGACACATACAAACACACATCCCACACACACTCACAGCCAGTTACGAGAACATCCAAACACACCCACTGCCTCCTCCACACACCTGTACACACACCCAGGGATCAGCATCCACACATACATAGAATCTGGCACATACACGTCACCCCCTTAGCCACTTTACATTCCCACCCCCATTCCTCTTAGGGGCCTTGTATCTGTTTCACTCTTCGAAAGCTCCTACCCACTGCCCCCAGCCTTGTGGGTGGGGGTGTCACACACACTAATCCTGTTTCACCCACCTCCTTATAGATCTGTGTTTTAGATTGAGCCCTAAATCTCAATTCTTCCCGAGATATTCTCTCTCTCTCTCTCTCTCTCTCTCTCTCTCTCACACACACACACACACACACACACACACACACGTGCGCGCGCGCACACACATTCCTCCCACAGGATCTACCATATTTACAAACTCTTCTTCCATGTGAAACCAAGCCTGTTTTGACCCTAATGCTACCCCCTTTCCTAACTGAAGCTGAGGGTTTGGTGGCAGGGTCTCACCCACTGGGGCAAGTTCTGGTCTCTTTCTCATGCTGCGCTTTCCCAACCAGCATGCCCCATCCCCCAGTCCCTATCCTTATCTCTAGACCCCCTTCCCATCATAACCCTCCCATCTACACCCTTTTCTGCCCTGGGATTATCAGTGGAGGCGGGGCTGGGCTCCAGAGCCTGCTGCTGTGACCTAGATTTCAAGGCTGGGATGGTTCCTGGTGCTGACAGTCGGAGAGCATTGTTCCTGGTCCAGCCTGGCAGGGCCACCGCTGGGCCCTTCTGTCTGGTTGCACCTGGGTGTGCAAGTGAGAGTGTCTATGAGTGACTGTTTCTTGTGGGGGTCGTGCTGGCCCTGCTGTCTGGCTCATTGTCTGTTTGTGTCACCGTGCCTGCCACCAAGGGAGGCTTGTAATTCTGGTCCAAGAAGTGGGCTGGGTGTGGGGATTTCTAGGTCCACACCTCTTATTGTGTGATGGCCATGCCTCTCTGCCTCAGTTCCCCTACAATAGAGCCTAGAAGTAAGGAAAATAGGAGTGTATCAGTCAGCCTGAACTCTTTGAACTGCCAAATTCCCAGCCCAATGTTGGGGTGCTTCATGGGCATCCTCGGTCAGGGACAAGGTCATCTAGCTTTTTGCTACCCTTTGTTCTAGCTACAGAGGGTTATGACATGCTTTCTTTTTCCTTGATACTGTGGATTGAACCCAGGGATGCTTTACCACTGGGTTCAATCCACAGTATTGAAGTCCAGTCCTTTTTGATACAGGCTTTCCCTAAATTGCCCAGGCTAGCCTCAAACTTGCAATATTCCTGCCTCAGCCTCTTGAGTTGCTGGGATTATGGGTGTGTGCCACTGCACCAAGCTATGATTTCTTTTTTTTTTTTTTTTTGCTTTACCCTTCTGATTTTAAGAGATATACTCATTGTAGGAAATAAGTGCCTGTTTTGAGCTCACTACTAGTGTTTCACATTTTATCAAATCCAGCAAGTTCATTCTAAGGTTCATCCTTCTTTCTTCCTGTCTTAGCTACAGTTCCTATTTTAGGGGAGGGAGGCCTTGAATATTCTTCACCTTCTTACCTAAGGATCATGAATGAAGACCTAGATGATATGTGGCCTTGCCCAGCACCCTGTGGGAGGCCATGCTAAAGGCAGTGCCAGCAGGATGTTGATGCAGGAAGGGGTGGCAGCCCCCTTCCTGCCAGACTCTCCCGAAGCTGCATCTTGGTGCCCTTCCCCCCACCACCCAGCAAGCCTGGGAACTGGGCAGGGGGCCAGAGCCAGCCGCTTGGTATTCTTGGGCGCGGGGGCTGCAAGCACAGCACAAAGGCTGGGAGACAAGGCTGAGTGGGGGCCCCTGTAATGATGAAGGGAGAAAATGGGCAAAGTGGGGATAGCCCATTGCTTCCCCTTACCCGAGGCCCTGATGGCTTAATATGAGGCTATGCATGGAGGGGCCAGGGAACCATCAGATCAAGCAACTAGGCATCCTTCCAAAGTGAGTCATTAGTGGGGTGGTGGGCAGTTGAAGTGAGGACCCTTTTGCTTCTGGGGAAGAATGGAAGCTAACATTTCAACCACCCCCCCCCCCGCTCCTTTTACAGTTTCTTCTTCCACAGCAAGCCTCTCCCTGTTGTTGTTTTGAGGTTTTTTTTTTTCTTGACGGGGGAGGGGTTGGAAGTGGGTGGGGCATTTCTGGGGGGGACTCTGAAACAGCGGGTGAGAAAGTCGGGAGCAGGTTGCCATGGTAACCGCCTCCTCAGTCAGGGGAGCTGTTGCCAGGGTTACTGTTAGAGGGGGAAAAAGAAGAAAAAGACAGTGGAGGGGGGAAGTATGACTTATCACTCTAGGCTCCAGCACTGCTCCTATCTTAAGTGTTTTCCTGTCTGTCCCCAATGCTTCCCCTAGGTCTTCATTTTCTTCCTCTGGCTCTGCCCACCCGTGTTCTAGACACATGCCTGGCAGGGCAGTGAGGGGGTGTGGATAGTGCCAGTATGTGAATCAGACTCAGTACACCAAGTCCAGACTCCTTTCCCTTTGTTACCTCCCCACCCCAGTCATGGCCGAATACGGGACCCTCCTCCAGGACCTGACTAACAACATCACCCTTGAAGATCTGGAACAGCTGAAGTCAGCCTGCAAGGAGGACATCCCCAGTGAGAAGAGCGAGGAGATCACCACAGGCAGTGCCTGGTTTAGCTTCCTGGAGAGCCACAACAAGCTGGACAAAGGTGCGGGACGGGGCTCGGTCCACTTGGCAGAGAGATGAGCACAGAGCTACCACACATGTGTGTACCTCTCGACAAGGCAGGCGAGAGAACGGAAGGGGCAGGAGGCGTTGGACAGTTTTCATTGTGCCCCTTGGCAGTAAATACATTATTCAGATACTCCTGTGCTATTATTACATATATAGAGAACATCAAAGCAATTTAAAAGTGGCAGCATTTAAAATAAAACAAGTTCTAACTTTCTTTTATCTGCTTTTAGAGACTCCTGCTCTAGAGGGACTGGGGATTGTAATTGGAGTGATCCTATGCAGCTGGGGGCTTTCAGGAGGACTTGGGAGTTTAAGATGGCCTTGAAAGGAAAGTGGGAATCCAGAGGGCCTGGTAGGCAGAGGGACAGACACAGAGGTGGGGGTTTCTGGTGTGTAGTCCTGCTGAGATTGACTGGGACATTCTATATATTTAGAAGTAGCTGTGAAGGAATGAAGGTAAGTCAAAACTCTGTTGTGGAGGGCCTTGAGTGATAGACATTTGAGAGAAAGTGAGGTGAGTGACCTCAGAGCTCTTCAGAAATATTATTCGGACTGAATTAAATGTGGGAGCAGGGAGGGGAGCTGAAGGACATACTATGGTTAGGAGCCAGAGGTCTGAGGTCATCTGTAATATCTTGGAGTTGGCTGAAAACCAAGGTGATCATTCTTTTGGTTATGTCCACATCTTTCATTTAGAGTGACTTTTCTTACTAGGCCCAGAACTTCTCTTGGATCTCACCATTCCTACCCATGTGTGCTATTGGGAAATTCTTCTTGATGGTTGGATGAAAGTAGAAAAAGGTTAGGGAGGGTCAAGTATTTGGAAGACAGATTTTCTGTTGTCCTTTCCCTAACCCTGCCAGGGACTTGCTACCTAATCCAAAGCCCTCTTTTTTTTTAGTGGTGGTACTGGGTTTTGAATCCAAGGGCGCTCTACCACTGAGCTACATCCCCAGCCCTTTTTCTTTCTTGTGTTGAGATAGGATCTAAGTTGCCCAGAGTGGTCTCAAATTTACCATCTCATCTGCCTCTGCTTCCTGCGTTACTGGGATTACATGTGCCACCATGCCTGGCTCAAAGCCCTCATTCTAATTCTACAACCTAGAAACTTCACTGACCACTCCCTGCCCTTCCCGGAAACAGTCTTGTACCATTGTGTGGGTGCTTTAGCTTTCTTTTCCTGGCTTAGTAGCCCAGCCCGTCTCCCAGTGTGGCCCTCTGAGAGCCAATGTTGTAGTAGTTTCAGAACACTGTCAAAGAGGCAAGGGGACTGCTACTGTCCAGCTCTGACCTAGTCTCCTGCCTTCCTCCAGACAACCTCTCCTATATTGAACACATTTTTGAGATCTCCCGCCGTCCAGACCTACTCACTATGGTGGTTGACTACAGAACTCGTGTGCTGAAGATCTCTGAAGAGGATGAGCTGGACACCAAGCTAACCCGCATTCCCAGCGCCAAGAAATACAAAGGTAAGAGTTCATGTCTTTGGCATACCCCTTCCGTTATCCCTGGAATAAGTGCATTTGGGGAGCGTGCATGTTGGTACTCAGTGGGTTTATCTGGCACCTCCCACAGCTTTCATCCCTGGACACATCCCTTTTTGCCCCTAGACATTATTCGGCAGCCCTCTGAGGAAGAGATCATCAAACTGGCTCCCCCACCGAAGAAGGCCTGAGCAAGGGGGAGGAAGAGGAGGAAGGTTGTACCTTCATCAGATCACTCCCTTCCCCAGCCTCCAAGGGAGGGGGCAAGGGCAGCACTCCCATGCACCCACTTACTAACCTGGTCCTAACTCCCTTACTGTGCGCGTGTGTGTGCGTGTGCGCACGCTCTGGCTGTCTGTCTATATGTCTAGCTCATCTAGTTCCTCCTCCTTGTGAGGGGGTGGGGGTCAGGATGGGGGGCTTAGTTTCCCCACTCTAAGGGGGAGGTGGGGGCTATTTCTATGCAAATAGAAATTGGCACATTCCTACTTCCCTTTCTTCCACTTTTCCTGGCCACATCTTTAAAATGTGGAAGCAGAAAAGACCTGCATTTTCCTACATTGAGGAGCTGAGAAGGTGAGGTATGGGAATGGTGGGTAGATCTAAGGAAAAGCAGGGAAGGAAAGGAGGGAGGACGAAGAGGCCAGTCTCCACCTGAAAGGGGCAAAGAAAAGCTGGAGTTCAGTGTTTGTATCCTGATGCTGGACTAGCTAATAAGTTCCATTTCCTGCTGTTCCTCAGGCTGGAGAGCCTAGGTACCAGCAGGTCCCTTTTTATGCTCCTCTCATGGGCAAAGATGGGTATAAACCAGGGATCTAATGGAAGAAGACCACTGTATCCTTTCCTGGTCCCTAAGAGCAAATCCTATGGAGCAGCCAGCATTCAGTGTCCACCCCCACCCCCCACCTTTTTGCTCTGGAAAGACTAGGCTGGGAACATGCACCACTGAGCCTGAAATGGGGACATAGAGGGATGGGCCCCTTTATCACTCCTTTATTCCTATTTAGACTGTTGCACACACTGACCCCAAACTTAGGTTGAGAAATGAGATCCTTAGGTTTTAATCTCAACCTGCCCCCGCTATAGGGTCCCAATGTGGATATTGCAGGCAACTCCCCTCTCTCTACTCAGTCTAGAACACCCCAAGCCAGAAAGAAGTGTTTTCCTTTGTACTGATCCCCATGCCAATTCATTCTTTGGAGGGGACTTGGTAACCCTTCTCACTGACACCCCGGCCCCCTTGGGCTTGTGGACGCCTCCTAGCCAAATAACTAGAGTACAGTGAGTGACCCCACCCTCTTGCCTGTCCCAACATGCCCTTCCCCACTCTGACCGTGCTAACTGTGTGTACATATATATTCTACATATATGTATATTAAACCCGCACTGCCATGTCTGCCCTTTTTTGTGGTGTCTAGCATTAACTTATTGTCTAGGCCAGAGTGGGGGTGGCAAGGGAGTGCCACAGTGACGGGAGTGGCAGAGGCAAATTGCTACATATTCCAAACAGAAAAGCTTTTTATATTAAAAAAAAAAAAGCAAACCAAAAAAAAAAAAAAGATAAGATTCACATGCAAACAGACTATTTAGAGAAAGTTGGAAGTTAGCAGCTTTTAGGATGTGGGAGCAAAACTTCAGTGGGAGCAGCGGGCTGGCTGTTGGAAGAGGGAAGAAGCCAGACTGGTCAGAGTGCCCCTCGACTCCTAGCTGAGCCCAGTCTGTGTCCCCCCTCTGGCTACTGTTGCAGACACCTGCCTTAACATACACACCTCGAGTACTCCACGGTTTTGCCTTAAAGGACCTTCCCAACTCTCCCCAGCCCTGTCTGGCTTCTCCCTTAGGGAGAGATACTTGTAGAACTGGAATTAGGGAAATGAGCATGAACTGTCCTTTTATTTGGAATGTTATGTGAGGGAGAGTGAGAGGGAGGGAGAAAATGAGAATTAATAAAGAGCTTTCCTTATGGAATAAAAAGGAAAAGAAAAGACGGGTTATTTCGGCAGAGTCTAGTAGTTTCTCTGTAAGGCAAAATAATCTAAAAAGACTAACTTGCCCTCCCACCCTTGTCCTGCTGTAAGGCTGCCCCTATCTTGTGCTCCTCCATCTGCAGTGTGCACGGCCTTGTTCTAACCCTGGAATAAAGGTGACTGATTGTACTGTACTGGATTCCAGAATTTCTGAGTGACCAGGATTTTGGAGCCTCTGTATGACTGGGAAGGAAGAGGGAGCAATATTTATCCCTACATCCTTTATTGTAGCCTGGTATAGGGACCCAGAAAACACCCCAAATAGGATCCTCCCCTCCTCATCCCCATCTGCAAAGGACCACTGAGCTAAATGGGGCCCATTTCATTTAAATCATCTCCAACTGGAACCTGAGCAAGAGAACTAGGATATTCCAGACTGGGCTTCCTAAAATCTTAACATGTACAGAGGAAGTGGGCAAGACTAAGCACCTACAATGGAAGGAACAAAAGCAGTCTATAATGAATGAATGGGCCACATATCACACAGAGCAGCAGAGTGTGGGGGAAAGCTTTACTGAGAAAATACAACAAATTCCAGAGTGCATGGTTTTAAGTCCCACCGTATCACTCCACTGGCAATAGGGAGACAAACCACTCAAGTCACTACACATTCCCTACCTCAGGAAGAAAGTGCAATAGCTAACATCGAGTCTGAGAGCTGCTAGGAAAAGGGGCAGGAGGAAGGAATGTCTGGCACTACCATCCTCTCACATTTTCCCCCTCTTCTTCACGGCCTGGTTTAGTAGAATCCAACTGTTCTAGGATGCAGAATTCCTAACTGGATCTTGTGGAAATTGGGGGCAGAAAAATAGCAGCAAAAGCAGTTAGGGGCAAGAATTCAAATAGGATTTTCATACTCAGTGACAAGTGATAAGACAGGTGTCCAAACCCTAGCCACCAGAATCCTGTTTTCTTTCTTTTTCTGGGTACTTTGAATTGAACCTGGAGTGCTTTAGTACTGAGCTACATCCCAAATCTATATTTTTTTCCTTTTGAGACAGTGTCTCGATAAATTACTGAGGCTGGCCTTGAATTTAAAATCCTCCTGCCTCAGTCTCCTGAATCACTGGGATTATATAGGCATACACCACTGTGCCTGGTTAGATTACTGTCTTTCTTGTCCCTAAATCCCAAGATACCAAGAGGTGGACAAAATTTATATAAAGTCAAACCCAAGAAATTTGGTCTTTACTATTTTCATTAGGAAGGGCTGATATGGAGCCGGATTGCTTAAAGAATCATAGCTAAGAGAATGTGTGTATCTTCTGTCATACACAAGATCGGGAGAGAGTAGGCAGTGGGTGGCAGCACCCTTTCTAATGTCACAGGTCTGTCATGTTTTAAAAATAGGCCGGCCTCTGATTTGAAGACCCATCCTGGGAGCTCCCATGAGACTTAAGGAGAGTTAGAGGATCTGAGGCGAGTTTAGAGAAAATGTTTTTCCAACCCCTATATCCAGGCAGAAAAGGGCAGAACTGAGGATCCTTCCATTATTGAGTCTCCTAAAAACCTAAGAGTAAGCCCCAGGCTTTAATGGCCATATATAAAGGGCACGTTAACCATGGGTGTCATTTTGACATCATTACTCTTGCTCATTCTTCCTTTAAGTCCCTTTATTGCATTTATAGAGAATATATAGGTATTTAAACTTTGACAATAATTTTAACTTGATACATCCAAGTTTGACTTGCTTTTTAATATATTTATAGATATAAAATTAGGCCTCTAACAGTGATAGGGACAGGGAGATTGCTGCCACCAAACAATTCTTAAAAAAAAAAAAAAATTAAAAAAATAACAGAAGAGGTAATATCCTTCCTATTCTTCTTCCACCTCTGCCCCTCCTCCCACCTCTCTCCAATCTCCTTCACCAGACCTATTTAGGGGGTGATGGGATGAAGAGAAGAGAGTGAAGGATACATAATCAAGTGCAAAACACTGTGATAAGTACAGAGAATGAATGAGGTGGAAAGTGAGAAGTGTGGGATGGTTAAGGGCTCTAAGGACTTCCCAGAAAAACAGGATCCTGGGATAGATTTGCTCAGGGGGAAAACAATGAAACTGTCATAGACTTTAAAAAACAAAGGAAAAAAAAGGTCAAAAACCTAAACCAAAGAGCGAGTGGCACTCCTACCCTCCACTCTGGCCCCTTGGTACTGAACAGCTAGTTGTTGCCCTCACCCCACCCCCACAAAGGAAACAAGGGAGATTAAAAGAAGCCCCATTGCCTATCCTAAACCAGTTAACAAAACGGGCTCCCCACCACCCCCAAAAAAAAGCTTCAGGGAGAGGCCATTTCTGCTGAGTCCTTTGTGCCTCTCCACAGAACCCATTCCAGGGCTCAACTCCCACTCCTAGGTGCTGTCTGCTGGTTCAATCCCCCTCTGGTCTGTCCTTCTCTTGGGATGTCTTCTAAACAAAAAGTCCAAAGTGCGTTTCTGCTGAATTTAAGGGCCTGGGACAGGAAAGCAGTGCCCAGGCAGGATCGGGTTGGCAGCCCCAGCCCGCCCCTCTTAGGCATGAGGCCTCAGGATGGCATGCATTGCACCCGGTCGGGGCCCTCCTCCTCGTCCGATGTATCTGAGGAGCTGGGAGACTCGTCAGAGTCCGCGTCTGTGGCCCCAACCCCAGGTTCTCGCCAGCGCTGTGGAATGGGAAAGCCTTGTTAGTACTTTTCCTGATCAAGAACAAGACTGTAAGGTCTTAGCTAGGCCAGGGATCAGCAGTGTTTTCTTAAAGGGCCAAAGAGTAGATATTTCAGACTTGTGGGCCACATGGTCTCTGTCGAAGCTATTCAACTCTGCCACTGTACCATGAAAGCAGTCATAGACAATATGAAGAATGGATGTGGCTGTGTTTCCAATAAAGTTTTATTTATAAAAACTGGCAGTAGGCCAGCTGCCAGTTTGCTGACCCCTGCCTCTTCAAGCATGACAGTAAATACTAAAAAGTACCCTAAGACATTTCTTCTCCACTCCCTTCCCACCCTCCTACCATTGCCCTTATGAAGATAGCATTCTGCATGTGTGGTGAAAGAAGATAGGAGCAGACACCAACCTTTCCTCCGGGGGTTCTGAAGGGAACAGGGGACCAATGGATGGGAAACCCAACCAAGATCACTTGATTCCTCCTTAATTTAGTGAGGAGGTGCACATTGGAACTTTGTAGCCCTCTTAAGAGGGTCACTGCCCTTGGGAGCTCACATCGAACCCCAGCTTACCCGGTGATGGCGTCTCTGTCTCAGGTGATGCATAAGAAACCAGAGCATGTGGCTATCAAACAGGTCAGTGTGGTGTAAGCTATCTTCATCCCGCTCTCGCTTGTTCTTCTTAATCACCTGAAAGCCAAAAGGGTTGGGGTTGGGGACAGTAATGAAATAGGGACCCTGGACCTAATCAAGAAGGTTGGTGTTCCATCCCAATAAAAGCTTCCTTGGGTGCTGTTACACTGAAGTGGAGCCAGATTCAATTAGGAAAGGATATCCTGGGTTCAGCCACTGAGAAGGTGGGAGGCTTTAATACAGAATAATAGTTCCTAAAGATGCTCCCTAACCCATCCTACTATCAACAAGAGGCACCCATAGCTGTCCCCTAGAACAGGACTGCTCCTCCAGAGAGAAGAACAGGAGTGTTTGGGGAGGGCATAAGAGTAATGTCCTTAAAGAACTGGGCAGCAAGTCATTCCTTCCTATGGCAATGAAGAATCCTAACAGCATGTGAATAAGTAGAAAGAAAAGTTCTGCAGCCAGCCACTTACATCCTTTAACCCGGTCAGTTCAGTAGAAGCTTCAGCTGTGGGTGCCCAGATCTTCACATCATGGTCTAGGCCACTGGTTGCCAACACTGGCAGATGAGGGTGGGGCTCAAGACAGTTGACCTGGACAGGAGAAAAGGAAAACACAGGCTAAGTGGTATGTGGGAGCAGGGTTTAAAATCCACTACTCACCTTGAGCTTGATTAGAGCTGAAGCAGCTGCTTGAAAGGCAGACCCACCCATCTTGAGCTTAGGCCAAAGGGCCCCAAGGGTGGAGGAGACACTGGACAAACTGAGTTCAAACCAGGCCCCTCTAACATTTCCTTTGCATTAGTCAGTGGTGGGCTTCATTCCTGGACACAGCCCTAGGATTGGGTGAGTGAGTGGCCATGTTTACTGTTGGCTTCACAAGAAGGCTACGAGGTCTGGATGACCTCATTCACTCTACATCCTAAAGGTTCCAATTTGCTTGAGGCTCAAAAAAGAATAACTCAGTGGCTTTCATGAAGTTGCAAATAAATTTTTAAAAATGAAGAAAGCAGTAGCTGCCAGTGAGCCCCCAGAGAAGAGTGAGAAAACAATTATATTCACTTGACACTGTTTACTAACTGGTGGAAGGCAGAGGCTGGGGAAGAGGAGGCTGAGCTGGAGGGGGAATGATGGAGGCTGGGGTCTGCTTTCAAATCCTATATATCCCAGGGGACAGCATCCTGCTATCTGCCCTAAGAACACAATAAACTCAGCTATAGGGCAGCACAATATAAATAAAGCGGCTCCCTGGAGCACCCACTGCATCAATTTTAGCTACCCTCTGTATTTTTCACTGATAAGTCTTTAGACTCAGGCAATTTCCTTCTGTCTGAAAGCACCTATGCCCCCTGCTGTCTGATTTGGAAACTTGAGTTTTCCTAACAGGGCAGGGCAGGGCAGGGCAGGGCAGGGCAGTTCCCATCCCCACAGGAAGAGCTAGTTACAGATCTAGCTTGCTAAAGCATTTTCAGGCTTTTAGTCAGATGAGAAATAGATAATAAGACACCCTGCTTTGCAGTTGCCCTGCAGTCTAAGAAAATAATAACCCCTGGCAAAAAGCTTCTTTTATGGTTCTCTCTGGACCAATCTCCTCTGCCTTACCTACAGTCAGAGAGCAACTAAGGAGAAGCTAGGGGCCAGCACAGAGAATAAAACTGAACAGCAGATTCCCAACCTTCACTGACTTCCATTTTATAGATAAACAAATGCTCAGAGAATACAATCTAAATCTGAGCCTAAAATTGTGACTGCAGTTAATATCTGGCTCTTTCAGGCAACCGATATGGAGCATAAGGAGGCACTAGAAAAAAACTCTATGGCCTGAAAATATTATCAAAAGGTATGTGTCAACTTACACATACAAACCTGAATTCATTCATCCAGCTCCTGATAAACCTTTGCTATAGACCTATGTATACTCTGAGATAGCTGGGCTTCAACAAGTCAGCAAAATTATACAGCTAAGGAAAGCTCAGGGGAGTCTTAATATTTAAGACTAGGATAAAGCCAATGGCAAGAGAGGAACAAGAGAATAAATTACATACAGTACCTGAGGTGGAGCCTGTAGGGAAGCCAATAGAGAACTTCTGGACCAGGGACCTGGTCAATTCACCAGACCTGTCTGAATGCCAGAACTTACCTCTCATTAATTCTTGAGCAGAGATAAGAGCTCTGGCCTTAGATGACTGGGCTGGGGGCATGTAGGAAATGGAATAAAGCATCAAAGTGCTCTCGGGAGAGTAAGGAGTTGTCCTTTGAAATTCCCCACCCTTGTCCCTGTGAAGTTGAATGGGAACAAAGAAAGGAACCCAAAATAAGAGTTAGGAGACCTAGGAAAGGTGGACGATGACTTCTCAAATTGCTCCAGTTCTAAGATTCTACTTTGTGATATAGAATTGTTTCACAATCTCCACTGAGGCTGGAGTCTGATAACCTCCATTGCTGGAAGGTTAGGACAAAAAAAAAGAGAGCCAAGGGAGGACCACAGATCATGCAGCTTATACAGAGGCAGGAACAAGTAAGGAAGCTCACTTCAGTGGGCAGTCTCTATTTCTTGTTCTATCTAGTCTCTCATTCTTAAAACCACTAGAACTCAGGCCATCTCAAGTAGATGCTCTCCCCTCCTGAGTTCCTGGATTAATCATCCAATCCTGGTACTGGCTAAACTAAAAGCAAACCGGCCTGCAGAGTGCTTTGGAGAACAAATAAGTGCTGGTCTGGGAGAAGGGCATTCATCCCTTCATCTCTCTGGAATAGAATGCAAGACAATAGTTGATTATCAAGAAAGGATTCACTGGTTCAAGTTTGAGATCAACCATGGCAACTTAGATTCTGTCTCAAGACAAAATAAAAAAGGCTGGGGATGTAGCTCAGTGGTAAGGTGCTCCTGGGTTCAATCCTAGTACCAAAAAGAGGGGTAAAGGTGGGGGAAGGATTCAAGGGTCCCTTTTGATTTCCTTCTGACTACATGCCCATTGCGTAATTTCTCATTAAGACTCCAGTGTGCCAGGTGTTGTGGCATATGCTTATAATCCAAGCAACTTGGGAAGCTGAGGCATGAGGATCACAAGTTCGAGGCCAACCTTAGCAACCAAGCAAGATCCTTAGCAATGTAAAGAGACCCTGTCTCGAAATAAAAACTAAAAGGAATGAAAGAACTGAGATGTGGCTCAGTAATACAGCACCACTGGGTTCAATTCCCAATACCAAAGGAAAAAAAAAAAAGACTCTAGTGTTTTGGATTTGTTAACTACAGATGATAGAAGGGGACCTATGGAAGAGTAGGAAATGAAGCAGGAAAGAAAGGGACACACCTTGTACTTCTAGACTTCTCTCCTCTTGCATTCAGGTTATAGAAGTCCTGTTTTATATTGGTCCCAGGTCTCAAAAAATTAGAGGAAAATCTGAAATATTCTCAGAGCAAGGTAAGAAAAACACAAGAAGGAATGGGATCCTGCTTGCAAGGAACCATTCTAAATTATAAAACTATTCTCTGGTAAACCTCATAAAGTCATGGCTAGGCTCTTTGAAGTTTCCCACGGCTTAGAAAGAATGAAAAGGAAGAAAGTCCAAGCAGTCAGTCTCAATCATTATTTAGAGGCCACAGGTAACCAGACTATCTTGGGTAATTAGTACAACCTAGCCTTTCAATCTGTCTCTTTCCTATCTTCTGTGGTTTAAAAACCTTATAATAGGAAGTTCTAAACTTTTTTCCTCATTCTGGGTCTTAAAAAAGAAAAAGTGACATGGTTAACTAGATATATCTTAAAAGGTAAACCACTCTCCACTCCTTAACTTGATCCTCACTATCTTTTTGCCCTATCTCCACAGAGGCTGCCTGTAAAACTCAAAAGACAGGCAGACTAGACTGTAACATAATCAAGGATTATATAGCAGGCTGCTCATCTACTCTTTTTGAGAAAAAAACATTTTGCCACATTTGCTTTCTCCCTATACATGTACACATTCATTTGAAAGTAGGCGTGACATTTCAACCTTAAATATTTCAACATGTGTCGACTAAGTGTAAAGATATTTTTCTACATAAATATTACCAGATGATATAAATCTAATGTTGGATACCATGTTACTTAATATATAAACCATATATTTATTTTCCCAACTATTCAAAAAATGTTCCTTTGCACTTTTATCTGATCTAGGATAGGGGATGAAACCTGGAGGCATCTTTAACAGTGTATAGGTGGGGTGATGTGCCCTGAACTCTAATGGTCACTCTTCTGGAAAAGGTCCATGCTTAAGCTGGTTGGTACACACCTGAAATTGGAGCCACTTGGGAAATGAGAGACAGTAGGATTGCAAGTCCTTGGCAAGCCTCAACAACTTAGCAAGGCCTTGTCTCAAAAACAAAGCTGGGCAAGGTGGTACACGCTTATAATCCAAGAGGCTGAGACAGGAGGATCTCAAGTTTGAGCAACTTAGTGAGATCCTGTATCATAAACAAGGGCTAGGGATGTGGCCCAGTGGTAAAGTGCCCCTGGGTTAAAACCCCAGCACCAAAAATAAATAAGTAAGTAAGTAAATAAATAAATAAATAGGGTAGAGAGGTGACTCAGTTGTAAAGTGGTGCTGGGGACTGAACCCAGCAATCAAATAAACAAAACTGAAACCAAAACCAAACAAAAACAAAACACAACACAATACCTCTCAGCATCCTCAGACTATGCTGCCTTTTAATTAAATGTAGTTGGCTGGACCTTTAAGACATGATATTAGGTAGCCACAGTGAAAATTCAGAGTCCCTACTAAAACCTACCTTATTGATCTGAAATACTATGGAGCCAGTCGGCTCAGCATACCATACTTACCACACCTCCCTTGTCCCCCTCCATGAACTGAATGATCTGGCAGGATGATTTTTCCCAGAGGAAGATGTGCCCGCAGTCACTACCGCTCACCACAAATTCACTCTTGGGGCCATAGAAATTGACACCTTTTACTGAAATAAATGAGGGAACAAACCACGAGGATTGGCATCAGGCCTATATATATTTCTCACAGAGAAAAATAACTAAATATTCACAAACTCCAAATTAGCTGCAAGCCAAATAATTCCTTTCATCTTTACAAATCAAACCAAAAGATTATGCATGTATAACAGATAATTATAAGAATCACACCAGTTCCAGAGACTACTTATATTCTCTCAATGAGCTCTACAGGGCAGAGGAGTCTCCAATTGCCTAGCAATAGCCTGCCTCATTTATACCCTATCAGGTCTCACTAATGACCTTACCCATCTGAAGCTACATGTGCTAACTCTGCCTATTGCCAGGCAGCATTCACCAATGTTCTAGGATTATCCTTACTATATATTTCATTGGTAATTTGTCAGTGCTTCTTGGGTCACTGGCTGATCTGAGACTGATGAAAGTATATGCCACAATCACCTAACTCATATGAATTATGCTTTCTACCAGGACTCTGAATAACAGGGCTCCACTCTCTAAAATTAGCAAAAGCAGCCAGGAGTCCCAACTACTAAAGCCATCCATACTGGCCATGACGCTGTTACTCTTCCCGTGGGCTGAGATCCAAGTACAGATTTTTCCTTCCCTTCTCATCAGCTCAAAGAAAAAGTAAATGTAACTCCTGCCTCCAAGTCAAATTATGACAGGACTGTTAGGAGTGGTAACATCAAAAGTCAGTGATTCCCCAACTTTTCTGTACATTAGAACGGGAACTTGGGGCTGGGGATGTGGCTCAAGCGGTAGCGTGCTCGCCTGGCATGCGTGCGGCCGGGGTTCGATCCTCAGCACCACATACCAACAAAGATGTTGTGTCCGCCGAAAACTAAAAAATAAATATTAAAAAATTCTCTCTCTCTTTAAAAAAAAATAAAAATAAAAAAGAACGGGAACTTTACAAAAGTACTAGCACTCAAATTGCACCCTACACCAATGAAATCAGAACATATGGGAGTGGGCACCAGGCATTGGTACTTGACTATCAGGTGACTCTAATTTGGAAACCATAGACACTGAATAAAAAAAGATCAATCTTCACTGCAAATTTAAACTAGGTACTATCACAACTCCTCCTCACTCAAAAAAAAAAAAAAAAATTTTCCTCTTCCCTCCCTAGTGGTACAAGTTTATGACCCATTTTAAGTAATTCAGCATCACTGACTAAAGCAGGTTTTCCCTGACTCCTTAACAAGCTCTTGTACCCATTTGGAATTTGCCTAAAAATTTACCTAAAATACAGAGAAAAAGGAAAAAAAAAAATAGTAAAGTCTTATGTTCAAACCAATTAGAAGCAACATTACTGCAGTGAAGATGCTCTCAAGCAAAGTGGAGAAAACATGAAAATGCCAGCCCAATGGGATCAACTCTCACTGCAAGGAACCAGAAGCCTATCCCTTAGGTAACTTCATATGTACAAGCTGAATAAAATACTATGGTTCTCCAAGCCAATAGGATTTGGCCACAGAAACCTAGAAAAACAGTCTCACCTGTGGCATTATTTCTGTGGCCCTTATATCTCTTAACATACTGGGCCCCATCACTGTGAGAGGAGTTGAAGAGGTAAATGTCTTCATCGTTATAACTGGCCAGGAGCTCTGCCAAGAACAAGAACACAGCAGTGAAGGCAAAGGCTGAAAAATGCAGGAATCAGGAGTTGGGGGTTGGGATGGGGCTTCTTGCCAGTAGTGCCCCCTCCTAATACCCAGGTGTAACACCCATCTTACTCAGTTGGAACAGCAGGCAAGTGAAGTTGTAAGGGCAGACTAGGAACACACTGCCAACCCAGGGGTAGCAGAGGAAGACCTCAGGAAGATCACATCCATTCACTCAGGATGAGACAAAGGCATAAGAACCTGCTCAGGCCAAGTAGCCTGGGCTTCAGGACAGGCCCTGCCAAATATCATCTGCAGCATTCTGCAAATGGTGCCTGGCATCTCCAAGGGTCACTGCTGCATCCTCCCACTATGTGCTCACCATCAGCAACTACTCCCCAGATGCTCCACTTGGAGCTATAGCACAGTGGTGAGCACTGGAGGGCACGTGCCTCACTGGCTCAGCAGCTCTCTAGACAGAGGAGGCATGCCAGCCTAGGAGCTGGGCCCTGCTCACGTACCTGTGCCGTCGTGGCTGTACACAAGACAGGTGATGTTTGCTTTGGACTCACTGTTCACCTGCAATAAGGAGCAGATACTGACTGATGCCCCACCCCCCCATTTGGCATACCATCTTCAGGAACAGGTTTTCCTTCAAACTCCCCTATATCTTCTCCCAGAGAATGAGAGAAAAACAGAGAGACAGATAGGAGTACAACTAATGAAACATGACCACCTCAAAGGCGAAAGTCTTAGGGCCTTGTCTTCTCTCTGCTAGCCATTTATTTCATATACATGGTTTCATTAGGCCTCACCATGATGGTCCAAGGCTGTTACTGTTCTCTCTACTTTCTTGATGAGAAAATAGGCTAACAGAGGTGAACTGACTGCCCAAGATCACAAAGCTGGTAAGTTGGGAAGCCAAGATTCAAATCCAGGTGCATGACTTGAAAATGCAAGCTCTGCTTTTCCCACTATACCAACAAGTTCAAAGGCCGACTTGGGATCAAGTCAGGGAAGCCAGGAGTCACTGGCCCTTCATGAATCTTACCAGGTGATGAGGACAGAATTTCTTGAGTACACCATTGTTCTCATTCTCATCAATTTTCCTCTGGTCATAAATCCTGTAATGGAAGAAGCAATAGAAATGTCAAAACTTACAAGATTATCCCTCAAAGAGCTGCAATTAGTGCAGAAAGCAAATGGATGAAGATAAAGGATATTTTCCCCACCAAACTTCCAGTTCATGCTCTTTTATAAAGATCCTCCATTCCTCAATCCATTTTCAAACCCTAAATCGTTCATGATGGTACTTTCCTCAATTCTACCAGTTTCAACTTTTATATCACTTCCGGCTTATTCCACTGAAACTACTAACATCACAGAGCTTTTAAAATGTATATTACCTATCCCAAAGAGTCTATTACTCCTGGACAGAGATTATGCTGTTTGTAAGTGAATAGGTCTCTGATTCTTTTTTATTTGGCCAGTTCTCCCTCTCATACCCCACAACAACTATTAGAAAACCACAATTTTCCTCAAGACCTTCTCTCCTTCCTTTATTGCCATCAAGCAAACTACCTTCATCATTCCAACTCTCTCCAATTCAATCTTCATAAATATTTATGGCACATATGTTTCAAGTATTGTGCTAAGTGTGAAAATGCGTTGAGGGAAAAAAAGGCAGATCCAGTCTTTATCCTGATTCAGCAGTCTTCTCTAAATCTCTAAAGATGCTCTTAATCTCATCATCCCCAGGGAACTCGTTTGACTAATTAGTTCCATTTCTCAATCGCTTCTTTCATCACTGTCAAACATTTCTTTTCTACTGTTGCTTTCTCTCTCTTTCCTTCTGCAAATTACTCAAAACAATATAAATTCAATGTTTTCACTTCCTTACTTTTTGTTCACTTCTCAACCCATTCTAATATGGCTTTTACCCTCAATTTACCAATAAACTTCTTACGCTGAAATCTTTAGTAACGTAACTGCCAAAGCTAAGAAGACACTTTTCAAAGCTTACTCTCTTGGTCTGACATTGTTCATTACTGCTTCCTTGAAACATCATTCTTCCTTGATAGCCAATCATTCCTCAGTACTGTCCATGAGTTTGTCTTTGTTTATCCCTTAAATGCTGATGTTCCCCTGGGGCTTGGTGTTAAATTCTCATCTGACTCTATACCAGGGAATTTTAACCTGGAGGCTAAAGAATATGTAAACCTCCAGAAACTGCTTATGCGTATTTTTCTTTACTGATGCTTTAAGCACTACTTCCTAAAGACGGATAAATGCCTTAAATCCGTGTTTCCAAATCATACTTAATATGAGCTCCAGACATATATCTACTTAACAAATGGATGTTATAATAGGTTCCCCAAAAGTAAACTCATTCTAAACCTATCCCTTTCCCCTGAATCTTTGAAAATGGAACTATTCATAAATGGGAGTGATCAAGCAAGAAATCAGGTACCTTCTCTCCTATATAGCAATTCCTGGCTTGTCAATTTTACTCCCTGGGTATATTTTTAGACAATATTTGCTTTCTTCACCACTTATCATATTTTGCCTAGATAATAGCATTATCCTTCTAATTTCCCTGCTTGAACTGTCATCAGAAGTATGTGTAAAACGCTAAATTTTATGTAAATTCCTTGATTGTATCTCCTCAGTGATTTTGTACAACCAACTGAATAAAGTTCAAACTCCTTAGTATGGGTGCCTACCTCTGCTTCAATATTCTACACAATAGCCACATAACTATTTGGGAGGCTAAGACAGGAGGATAGGAAGTTTGAAGCTAGCCTGGGCAACTTAAAGAGGTCCTGTCTCAAAGTATCAAAATGAAAAGGGCTCTGGATGAAGCTCAGTGGTAGAGGGGTTGCCTAGCATGTGTAAGGGCCTGGACTCAACTCCAAGTACCAAAAAAAAAAAAGTGGGGGTGGGGGGTGGGCAGTGGAGGAGGGAGGGAGAGAAATGGAAGGAGAAATAGAGAATTACCCAGGAAATGCTTGATAAATGAACAATAACAAAGCCAGGTGGGTGGCAGGGGGATGGTTACACTATCAATTACAACTCTTTCAGCAGATTTATCAGCTGTTAATCAAATTTGTTTTTCTCTTAACTAAGTTTAAATCAACAGCTCTCAAATATCACTAAGCCATTAAAAGATTCAACAAGTCAGCAAATTAATAAAAAAAATTGAAATACTCAAGCTTCATGGGATGCCTTTTGATAATATGGTAGAATTCTGTGTTCCTCAGTATGTAATGCTTTTTGGCCTTCTACTTTATAGGAATTTTCTTCCCTTTCTCCATTTATTAAGAACCTACTATATCTTATATATGATGATGCTAGACAAGGGTTGGCAAACTTTTGTTTTGTGTTTTTTTTGTACTGGGAATTGAACCCAGGGGCATTTTACCACCACTGAACTACATCCCCAGGGTCTTCCTAAATTGCTGAGGCTGGCCTTGAACTTGAGATTCTCCTGTCTTAGCTCTCCCAAGTCACTGGGATTACAGGTATACACCACTGCACCTGATGGCAATTTTTTTTTTTTAATATTTATTTTTTAGTTCTTGGCGGACACAACTTCTTTGTTGGTATGTGGTGCTGAGGATCGAACCTGGGCCGCACGCATGCCAGGCGAGCGCGCTACCACTTGAGCCACATCCCCAGCCCGGCAATTTTTTTTTTAAAGAGTAGAAAGTAAAAAGTGGTATTAGAGATTGAAACCAAGGGAACTTTACACTGACCTATATCCCCAGCCATTTGTATTTTGAGACACAGTTTTCCTAAATTGCCGAGATTGGCCTTGAACTTGTGATTTTCCTGCCTTAGCCTCCTGAGTTGCTGGGCTTATAAGTGTGTGCCAATGTGCCCAGCTGTCCAGGATTCTTGAACAAGGTAAAGTAATCTCTCATGTGTTTTTAAAAATATTATCCCCATGATTTCTTATTAATACAATTTATTTTAAAATACATTTACAAAATGTTGTCTGATTTCAAAAGGAAGATGATGCTTTTTAACTACCATAAAGAAAGCAGTCATTCCTATAATCCCAGTGGTTTGGGAGGCTGAGGCTCTAAGAAACTTGGTGAGACCCTGTCTCAAAATAAAATATAAAAATGGCTAGGAATATTGCTCAGTGGTTAAGTGCTAGTTCAATCCCTGGTACAAATTTAAAAAAAAATAAAATAAAAGAAGAAGAAAGCAAAGTCATTCATTTTTCTAGTGATACTGCCTCTTCTCTTTTTCAAATTGACAATCTCAAATAAATATAGTTAAAATAAAAACTGGAGAGGGATGGGTACAGTTTCCTACTAAAGGTCAGAAGGAAGCTAACTGGAGGTTGAACCCATGATGCCTGCTTTCCTTAGAATATTGCCTCAATAGTCAGGGTTTCAACAAATGCTCATAGGAACAAAGATTATCTCTACAGATAGAGAAAATGGTTCAGAATAGTAGGAGCCAAAACCCCTCAGTTCACACCTAGGGTTTTCAAGTCAAACTATTTCTAAATCCCAAACCAATATACAAAACTGCAAGTGCAATGGCAATTTATTTATGAAAATGGTAGCAGTAGGGCACAGTGGCTCTTGCCTATAATCCCAGCAATTTGGGAGGCTGAGGTGGGAGATTGCAAGTATGAGGGCCTCAGAAACCTGTCTCAGTTCAAAGCCAGTCTCAGCTACTCACCGAGACTTTGTCTCAGGATAAAATATAAAAAGGGCTGGGGATGTAGCTCAGTGGTTCAATTCCTAGTACGGAGGGGGGGGGAGGTGGGATACAAAGGACCATGTAATACATGAACAGATGTTCAACACCATTAGCAATTATACAAATTCAAATCAAAACTACACTGAGATTTTTTCTCACACCAGTCAGAATGGCTGTCATCAAGAATACAAATAATAAGTGTTGGGGAGGAGGTGGAAAAAAAGGAATACTTTTGTACTGTTGGAGGAACTGCAAATTAATACAACCATGACTGAAATCAATATGGAGGTTCCTCAAAAAATTAATCATGGAACTACCATATGACCCAGTTAAACCACTCCTTGGTATTTATCTTAAAAATTAAAAGTCATCATTCTACAGTGACGCATGCATACCCAGGTTTAGTAGCACATTTCATAACAGTCAAACTACGGAACCAGCCTAGGTCTCTATCAACTAATGAATGTTTTATATACACAATGGAGTTTTATTCAGCCATAAAGAAAAATGAAATCATATCATTTGCAGGAGAATAGATGGAATAAAGACCATTATGTTGAGCAAAATAAATCAAACTCAGAACGTCAAGGGTTGTATGTTTTCTCTCATATGCAGAAATTAGAGAGGATAAAGAAAAAAAGAAAGATGGTGGTGGATCTCATGATAATGAGAGGGACATCAGTAAAGAAAAGGGATGAGAAGCAGGGAGGGAAGAGATAAGTGTTGGGGAGTGATATTGGCCAAATTATATGGTTATATTATGCACATGCACAAATATGCAACAACAAATCCAAACATTATGCACACTTACACTTATAATGCACCAATAAAAAATGTGGAAAAAATTAAAACAATAACAACAAAAGACTGTCTCAAAAAAAAAAAAAAAAGGCTAGAGATGAAGTTCAGTGGTAAAGTACTCCTGGGTTCAATCCCCAGTACCAAAAAAGGAAAAAGAAAATGGTAGAAAATTCACTAAAACAGCACCTGCTGGAAATTAGGTCTTAATTACTAGTGAAGAACTTGATCAATTTATCAGGTTTCTTTAAAACATGCAAAGTCATCTATATAACAGGAAAAGCCATCTCTCAGAGACTGTTTACATTAAGGAACAGAACAGCAGCTCAGAAGGTGCTTAAGCATTCTGGAAGAGGATAAAAATTAAAAATGGTGGTAAATGAACTTCTAGGCATTTCACACTTCACCATTCTTAATACATGGCAATAGGTTCACAAATTTGACACATTAAGAATGGTCTCTCCTTTTATTTTTAAAAATCTGCAATAAATCCTACAGATTTTTTTTTTTTTTTAAAGACAATGTGCCAGAGTCTCAAACTCTCAAAAACACAGAAAAGCAATAGACTCACCTTACAAATTGATCTCGTCCACCTACTGCAAACTGGTGGGTATTGGCAGGATTCACATAGATTGTATACAGCCCCACTTTCTTCTCTTTCTCTTTTGTCACCACCAGTTTCCTGTAAGAGTAGAAAAATACACAACATTTTAGTCTCCATAAGATCTAGATGGGGGCTGGGGATGTGGCTCAAGCGGTAGCAAGCTCGCCTGGCATGCGTGCGGCCCGGGTTCGATCCTCAGCACCACATACCAACAAAGATGTTGTGTCCGCCGAGAACTAAAAAAATAAATATTAAAAATTCTCTCTCTCTCACTCTCTCTCTCTCTCTCTCTCTCACTCTCTCTCTCTCTCTCTCACTCTCTCTCTCTCTCTCTCACTCTCTCTCACTCTCTCTCTCTCTCTCTCTCTCACTCTCTCTTAAAAAAAAAAAAAAAGATCTAGATGGTCATGACAAATGAGAGCCAAGATGACAATATAGGCATGGCTAATAAGAAAACGAAAATATTCTCATCTGGAAAGAAAAATTATTTTTGTTTGTCTTAGACAATGAAAAATGAAAAAGCAAAAATATTCACTACATGCTACTTTGAAGATGGGAAAAATATTTAGTAAAATTTTTTCTTGTGTTGCTTAAGAAATGTAAGTTAAAGGTATATGCTCTTCAGGAAGTCCAACACAATAACAACCAGTCATTAAAGGATGTTACCCATACAGTTCCCTCCTCTATTTGTAAATACTGTATATCTTCCCAATCACCTGGAGAGGAGTGGAGAAAAATTTACAGAACCACTGGGTTAAAAAATAACTTTAGGTCAGAGGGCGTCTTCCAGATTCTGGAAAAATGCCACTTAAAACCTAGCTTTAAAGCCAAGCACAGTGGTGCACACATGTAATCTCAGCTGCTGGGGAGACTGAGGCAGGAGGATCTTGAGTTCAAAGCCAGCCTCAGGAGAAGTTGAGACCCTGTCTCTAAATAAAATATAAGATAGGGCTGGGGATGTGGCTCAATGATCAAGTGCCCCTGAATTCAATTCCTGGTACCTGCCCCCCCCCAAAAAAAA